GTAATCTTTGTGGCTTATATCTTTCTGTTTTTCTTCCTTCATTTGTAAATTGTTTGAGGGTTTCATTAGGGTACTACTTTATCTTCAGAGCGACAAAAAAATACCGATGTAGTGAGACCGGATATCGTATCCCTTTCAAATGTGTTGAAATTGATGATGGTTCTAATGCTGAAAATAAACAAAAAACCAAAAAGGATAGGCCTAATCTTGAAATCTCAGCAATCAATGAGAATTCAAGAAAACGTAGAAGCTTACTTGATGATTCATCCACATCGGAGAGTAGGGTACAAGCCTACATCATCTATAGAAGCTGTATACCTGCAGTTAATGAAGAGAAATTATCAGTACTCGGTTTTGAGGTATGCACATTTTGGTCATCATTATCTTTCAATTTGATTTTTGTAATTGATTGATCAGAAAAACATCATCTTCTTTATCCTCATTATATGAATCAGGTTGCATACTCTATAGTGTTTGTTCTTGAGTATTGAGATATATGCAGCCATTCTGAAAATATATTTGAATTCGATAGCTGACTGCTATTTTACTCCGGCTCATCATTTTTTATGTACTCATATCTGGCACCAGTGTCCGACACATATCTAGACATGGGTATGAACTATGACCCTTTAATGATCCTCTAATTCTTGTAAAAACTTAGAAAGATAGAACATACCCGTATAGGACATCTGCACATATCTAGCACTCACACCCGAGTCTGAGTAACATGGGTTGACTGTCTTTTCCTTTTTGCCTTAGATCCCTTGTGTGTGGCTTTTTGGATCTCAATCTTCTATACACCAACAATATGCAGATTGATTGGCTGCATAAAACATTTGAAACAACTATTTCTCGTGCAATAGTAACTCATACCAGGATTGATCACACTTCTGCATTCTTTTCCATTCCAGCTAGCCCTTTATTAATCTACAACTCTCGGAGGTCATGTATTCATAGTTTGGTCAAGTAATATCCGAGTTATATTTGTTGTGATGATTTCTAATTTAGAAATTATAAAACAGCTGAGACGGGATATTTCTCTTGGTGACTATTTGCAAACGGAAAAACGGGCATAAACCAAAAACTTGGTTAAGTTAAATCCCAGTTATATTTGTTGTGGCTAATGCCTAATTCAGAAGATATAGAACAGCAGAGCCAGACATTTCCTTTGGTGATTATGTGTGCATACCATTAGGGTGCATACTGTTGCATTATCAACTAAGAATCTAAGTCTGAGACTTCAAAATCACTGATTGATCAACTTTTAAAAGGAAAAATGGCTTCGATATTTAAAGACAAAGTAGTTTGACTTGGATGATTATATGTCTTTGCTGATGCATAATACTCGGAACTAATTTGTGCAGGGAATTATTTTTGGCTTACTGCTTATTAGTGGTTCAGTTGTATTCTTACGAAGAAAGCGGGCCATGACCTTGCCTGGAGTTTCTACAGGGAGGATCCAATCTAACTCTAGGTTTTGATTTACGAGCCCTTTAAATATGAAACCAACTTTGTTGATTATTGAGGCTTTGAAGCAATTTAGCATAAAACTACGTCTACAGGTAAAGCTTTAGTTGCTCTTTTCTCTCTTTTTCTTTATTATTTTTTTTAAATCTCGACCTTGCAGTGAAAATTGTTGAAGGTAATTTTTTCCTTAAATGAATGGTATAACTGATTTTCCTGCAACCTTTAGCCGAAAGCTTACACGTTTTGTAGTCTTAGTCGGTAAGCAATGTCACCTGGACTCTCCGTTCTTGTGTTTTTCCGAAAGTACCTGCATTTAACACTTACATCTCTGCACATATATGAACATAGATAGGGAATTATGATCATATCTTACACATATATGAAAAAAAGCTTTCGGAAAATAATTTAGCATATCCTCTGAGTTGCTATCGTTTGCTGTCATCTGCCTGCTGTTTGTTTTTTTTACCTTCTTATGTTTCCCAGACACCAGGTTTGGATTTTAGATGTAGATGCTTCATACGCTTGTATATAAAATAGTCCCCTCTAATTGTACCAAAAAGCCAAGTAAGCCCTCGTTTGTTATAAATAAACTCATTTAAATAATCATGATCAACTTAGTCCGTTTAATCGCCTTAAACGTCTCGATCTAGCACCAGTTTAGGATTGTTGATGGCACAATTCAAAAATATTGAAAATTGGTGATATATTTTTGAAAGGAATGATATTAGTATATTTTGGGTAAATTAAACCTATGATTATTTAATTATTGCCCTTTTTTATTTTGTCCTCCGATCTTTTAGTTTTGTCAATTATATCATCTAACTATTTAATTGTTGTCAATAATTAAGCTACATGTTAATATTTAACGGAAGAGTAGATGTAACAATTAACAAAATCGAATAAATATTTGCGAAGAAGGTTAAAGCACCCCTTACAATGCTAAAAAAATTGTACCTATATAAAATTTGTCTTGTTTTTCAACAAACACAAAAGTGGATGTTAATAATATATATATGATTAATAATTAATAATTATAAATAAATAATGCCCAAAAAAGTCGAATAAATTAATTAATTTACATATTAGGACTAAATTACCAAAAAAAAAAGAACTCACATTGACCAAAATGATAACTAATTTGTAGAAATGACTAAATTGAATGAAATCAGAAATTAAGTAGGTTAAAATAATAATCAAACAAGAAAAATGATGCAATTATAATAACTATGAAAAGAGGAAAGATCACATAAGTAATTTACTTAAAAGTTCCAAAACACGTAGATCCTGACCTTGGATCTAGGTCGAGTTCAAGTCAAACACTAGGTTGGGTATCCAAAGCGGAATCGTTTGAGAGGGTTTAAATATCATATTTTCTACTTATCACTTGTCTTAGGCTTGATACAAAACTAAGTATTTAAATTATACATCGAAATACAATATGGTGTCTGAAGATTTTTTTTGTTAAAAATTAGTGTCTAAAGTTTTTTTTAATTATACTTTTAGATGTCTATCGTTATATTTTTTAATATTTTAATTTTTTAAGACTTAATATAAAAATAAGTCCTTGAACTTTGTATCGAAAAATGTTTTAGTACCTAAAAAAATTCACTAAAATTAGGTACCTAACATTTTCATCGGAGCACTTTTAAGTACCTGGATCGTAACTGCCGTTAAATTTGATCGTTAAGTAGCACGTGTCGAGCCTTGGTAATTTTGAGAATTTATTTTAAAATTTTAAAAATAAAAATATTTTTATTTAAAAAAATCCACATCCTCACGTGCGTAGGCCCCCAACCTTTTCTTTCCTACCCCTTCTCCAATTCTCCCTCCCCTATTCGCCTTTCATGGTCGTGGCCGTCACCGCCACCGTTGTTAGGACTGACGTCGACTCCCGATTAAACCCCTGTTGGTCTTTTATCGTAAGCTCCAACCATTTGTCGTGGAGAAACGTTCGAATGTTCGTTGGATTTTAAGCCAGTGTCATTGTTTTTCGTCAATTACGACAAGTCCAGATGTTTATATGCCACATTGTCACCACCATTCGAACCACCATCCAATTCAGCTCAAAATCCATCCTCGTCGTCGCTCCAGTGGTGCTCCTCCAGTGTTCTACCATGGTAACGGGGTTAAAATGAGATATTTTAGTTTTTTTTTTAGTTTTTTTATAATTTCATTAAAAGTTTGAGGTTCTTTTGTAAATAATTTTTTTTATTTTTCATTAAAAATAATATTTTTATTATTAAAAAAATAAAAATATATAACGGTGAATACTTAAAAGTGTAACTGAGAAAACATTAGGCACTAATTTTGAACGATGTTTTTTTCAGATAAAGTTTAGACACTTATTTTTATATTAAACCCTTTTTAATAATAAAAAATTTATTAATGAAAAACTACCTCTCTCCTTTCTCCCCTGCGTTCTCCTCCCTTGCAAGGCAGTCGATTACCATGGTCAACTATCATGAATGACCAAATGATAAGCAATCGGCCGTCACATCCGTTCAAACAATCGATTATCACGATTGATTTAAGGGAATATTTCATTTATGCCATTTTTAGGTGTTCAATTAGTTGCAAAAGTATAGAGATTTGGTCGTACATGGATGATCGATTACACATTATTGAGTGTTCGGCCAATTGACACCGTTGGTGGCTGGCGGTAGAGGCAAAGAATTAAAATTAAGGTTTTATAAATTTTGGATTTTTTTTTTAAAATTTGAAAAAAAATTAGTTTTTTTATTTTAAATAAAAATAATCAAAATTACCAAAAACGTGACACATATGACTTAGCGGAGATTTTAACGACGGTTAACGTTCAAGTACCTAAAAGTGTAACGTTGTAAACATTATACAACTACTTTTAATGAAAAATTCATTAGACACCAAATCATATTTCAAGATATATTTTAAGTATTTATTTTTTTATAAATCCCTTTTCTTATTTACTTTATTGTTTCTCCCTCTAAAAAAACTTCACTCTCGTTTCTGACTAATAAGTCAGCCATCCACCGTCGAATACCACTTGTCAATCACCATCGTGCGCCACCACCGATGAGTGCCATTCACTGCTACCGATGGTGTCTAGAGCTTTAAATTACAAAGGTTGCAGCTTGAGAACGTTCGGCTTCTTTTGATTTTTCCTTATTCTCAATCGATAGATTTTTTTCTTCTAATTGCATGGCAGCTTCCCCGGTGTTATTGCTCAGTGTCCATATGTCCGGATAGCCTCGCAGCCAGGTAACATGCACGCAAGCAGCATGTGAAGTCATGACAGATTCCTAAATTACTGTAGCAATCATCATGAAATAATTTTTAGTACATTTTATCCAAATAATTTTTTTCATCGCAATATTTAAACAATTTTACCATCGAGACTACGATAGTTATGATAGAATATGACATTTCCCAATATAAAAATCTGAATGCCCCATTTACCTATTCTTTGTTTTGTTTTACATTATTTCTCTAATTTAGCCACTTTTTTTGTGTCTTCATGTTCTGTCAACCGTGAAATTCGGTTTAACTTCAAATTAAACAAAAAACAAAGGAACGAGAACCAAAAACCCTGCAATTTAACTGATTTTTTTTTACAGCTTTTATGTAAGTTTAGACTACCAAAAACGACCAATCAAATGTTTCAGTTTTCATTTTGGTGTTGCCTTAGACCTCATGCTACCTCTCCGAGCAACATCCCATGCCTTTGGTGGAACATACTTACCGAACTGTGAAGCAAAAAACGACTCATAACCTGGGGAATCAAAGGCAAACCCACTGTGTCTGGATACTTCCTTTGGCAACTGAGATATTTCTCTGCATCTTGCCTCGTCTGGTGTAAGCTGTTGCTTCGATTCCAGTAGTTCCGATGGATCCGTACTCTGGATATCGTCCTTGTGCATTTCTTGAACGATCTGATAATCATAGGGGAAGAACCATCTTTGCACACTGGAAAAAGTTTGAATATACTAATATTAAAGTATCAGAGAAATATATGGAGGTAATGTACTTGCATTTCTCTCGTGCTTACCTAAGGTAAAGGAAATCTACCAGAAGTGCAGCAACAGGAACAAGTAGAAGAGTGACGTAGAAATAGGATGTACCCATTAAGATATAAATGACCCAATACATGTTATCCTGTCGTAGCCAACAGAGTCAATAAGCTGGCTGAACCGAAATGGAGAAAGAAAGAAAGAAAACGAAACCTGATTTCTTACGTTGCGGTCCAATGGAGTCGTAATTCCAGAATATAAGAAAATAAACAGAAACCAAGCCAGTATGCTTCCTCCAACACTAATGCAATGCCATCTCGTGATTGAATTGCACATCATGAGAAGACGTAAATTAACCGTTACTACTATACATGTGTAGGCCATCGTGCTGACATCCCAAAGACCAAACATTTTACCGGATGGATCAAGACTTGTAGAACAGGTAGCAGATATGAAGTAGAAGAAGACAAGAGATTGATATACGGCAAAAAAGGCCCATAATGCAACAACTCTCCACTTGAAAAACATATGTCTTACGCCCTCCTTGTATAATTCGGGGTACTTCTTTGAAAGGGATGGACTGATATCCTGGATAACAAGCAAGGTACTTGCACGAATCAAGCATAGAACAGACTGAACAAAAATTCCATCGGAAGAAAATTGGAAAGTATTGAGTACCTTATCTAAAACCCCAACGAAAACCACCGGTAGTGCGGTGAATATGACATTATACAATGACTGGAACCAATCATCATAGAATCTTTGGCCGCAAAATCCGGTATTGAAGGTGAACCAAAATTGAGTCAAAGAGAATGCAAGATTTTTGTAAAAGAAATACATCACAACCTGCAAAACAAGAATCCATGAATATGATCAACCATAAATTTTAAAAAAACTTTGGACAGAAAAAAGGCAAACCTTGTACAAGCAAAATATAATATGAGGACTCATGCATAATGCTAACCAAAAATGTTAAAAACGTCCTTGAAGGAAGAAAAAAGTCAAACCTTGCATAATCTAATATAAGCCCAACGTCCATGCATGAGAAGCAAATCTTCAAGGAAGCGAAACTGGGCAATTGAAAAATCACTAGCCATTACTGCTTGCATCCCCTCAAGCCCACTGATTCCGATACCAATATGAGCAGCTTGAATCATGCTAACATCATTTGCACCATCACCAATACTAAGTGTAATTTTACGTGCACCTCTCTTCACCAAACTCGTTACCTGCAAACAGAAAAAGTAATGTCGTATGTACCCTCTTCTCTTTCTTTACACTGAAAAATTGATTCCGACTATAGATTCTTAAGAACTTTGGCACTCAAAGAAAGCTCACTAAATACAGGGAGAATAGGTTTAGCAAAGGGATCCTCAACACTCCAATCACTATCAAAACACGGTTTAGTTTGATTAAGTTTTGAAAAATACATGTAATGACACCAACCTCCAAAGCTGTCAACATTGCAAACTTTGACCAAAATAAATACACCCTACCAATTCCTGTAATTATACCCAAATCTTTAGATAAATGCCTAGTCTTTTAAATTATCATTAATGTACTGCATGTCCTTTCTCTTTTTCTTATGCAAACCTTTTATCCACAAACTGTACTGAAAGCAAAATTAATAAGTTTCAATATAGCTGCCAACAAGAACCTACCTGTGCTTTCTGTAAAGGGGAGACTCGGCAGCAAACAACCGAAGCACAATTCAAGCTCAAAGTGAGGAGCATTACCCTTAAACTTGGGTCTAAAGCACACATCAGACACTTTCCATCTATAACAAGCCCTAGTTTTGGTCCAGAGGGTGAGCAAAAATATTGTTGCGCCTCATCAAGGCACTGCTTCAGTTGCTTTCTAACTTCCTCCTTGATAAAGAGTGCGGTTTCGGCTTGTTCACCCTGATAATAGACATTCAATCATGATTAATCATGAATGCAATGAACAGTTTGTATAATGGTAAATTCAAATTACAGGCATCTAAAAACAGTACTAAAATGCTTACCCTTTCTTCAACTTCTCTAATCGCATCTGTTTCAGAGCTAATAATGAATTGTATCATCTCATTGTTTAGTAAGTTGCAAGCTGCAGATTTAAAGATCATAAAGAAAACAAATTTATCATGAAAAGCACGAGGAAGAGACAGTTCCCAGGGAAGTTTCACCTTAAACAGAATCCTCATTAGTTACTTACCATAAGCTATATTTATTGCAGTTTCCATCTTGTCACCTGTTAGCACCCAAATCTTAATCCCAGCCCTAGAAAGAGTCTGAATGCAACTCGGCACTCCTTCTTGAAGCTTGTCTTCTATCGCAGTTGCACCAATTAAAATGAGATCCTTCTCTTTGAGTTCAGCCACCTGCATAAGTTTTAAAAATGTGTATAATTAAATAATCATCGGCATAAGTTTAGAAAATGTGCATAATTAAATAATCATTAAAAATACCTTCACAAATAAAGGACTTTCAAATTTCAAATAACCCTAAAGCTCTGATGCTTTCAACATTTCTTCCGTGAGAAAAATATATTATAGATTTGTTCAGATTCGGTGTGTTTGGCCAAGTCAGAATTTGGTCATTTGAATGTGCCAGTTCGACCTTCATGCAAGTATGAAATGCCAAATGATTCAGAAGACAACATATTTTTTTTCAGTTTGCATTTCTAATATATTATTAGGATCTATATATCAGGTGCTGGGTACTACTGCAAGTTGTTATAGGGCAGATAAGGAAAGCTAGAATCCAGGAAGACAATCACCTTTTTTGGGCTTTTATAGTAAGTTTTATTCGTATTTGTTTCTCCAAAGGGGGAGAGATTCAATTCAAATTAAGTGGATCATGCAAAATATAAGCTGACAGCAGCAGCAAATCATGTCTACAGAGCATACTATCTGCAACAGATTGATACTAAAATTTCATAAAACATCCTTACAATAGCATTATTCAGATAAAAGCCAATAACAGCAAAGTATGCCCAAAAATAGAGCATAATATGAGCAACAGATTAGCAATAAATTCTAATTAAAAAAAAAACATTATTACAACACTATCCATATTCAATAAGAGGATAAAAAAACCAACCAATATTCATGAAAAGATCAAATTTCTCTAAACAAAACAAGCTAACCATCACATGAGAAAACATACCTCATCCAACCTTTTTTCACGATCTCGTAGAGATGACTTAGCTTTGATGAATTTCTCATTCCAGCCCTCATAGAAGCCAGGAGCTAGATCTCTATAGGCAAGGCAAAGGGTACGTAATCCAGCAGAGCCAAATTGTTCCAAGTGATCCCTGGTCACTTTGTTTAAGTCATCATTTCCAATTCCCAATCTCTCATAAATAACAGTATCAGCTCCCTGTGAAAGGCATTGTTCTATCCCAGTGTCATTTTCTATTTCAGAAAAAAACACATAATACATGTCAAGTTCTAAAGACGCCTTACCTTACAGTACAGAACCAGTCTGCCATCTGGATAACGGCATACAACAGACTGGCGCTTCCTTGTGCTATTTAATGCAAAAATGAGTAAACATTAGTGCCAAGAAAGAACTATAAATGAAGGGATGGAGCGAAGGATGTTAACAAACCTGTTGAACTCGAGAACATTTAAAATCTCATAAGACACATCTTGGGTTTTGCCCATCGTCTCCACATGAGATTCTCTGACATATATCATTGTAGGTGTACGTCTGCAAAGAAAGAACCACAAATAAGGCCGTAAATCCATGCAACAAGAGTAATCCTCAACTATCTTGCATTAAAAAGAGTAACAGCTGACCATTACCCAAAAAAATGGTTCAAAATTTGTTGCAAGTAAAACTTCAAAAATTTAGAATAATTTCCTCTACCACGTATCAATGAGAAAGTGAAGAATGTGATGAACCTATCCAAACAAATGAAGGGAAAAAACCCAAAGGGTCGCAATATCCTGTCGAAATATTTGCTGAACTCCCATATATTTTGTATAATTTTTAAGTTATTTGCTGAACTCCCAAATTTGTTTTTATCTTTTAGTAGTTTACTAGAATAAGTGAACTATTTGGAATAATTTCCTCTACCACGTATCAATGAGATGAATTTGATGAACTTTTCTAAAATAATTGAAGAAAAAAAATTAAAGAGTGGCAATATCCTGTCAAAATATTTGCTGAAATCCCATATATTTTGGGATAATTTCTAAGTTATTTGCTGAACTCCCCTAATTTGAAACATTTTCCGAACTCCCATATTTGTTTTTATCTTGTAGTAGTTTACAAGAATAAGTGATCTATTTTCCCAGTTATGTTGTGAGTCCTTTTCTATTTAAACTCAGTTCTTTACCTAATAAAAAACAGAACAGTTTTATCGAAAATATTCTCTTAAAACTTTCATGGCATCTATAGCTACGTTAAATCACCAGTAACACCATGGCTTAAAGCCTAAGACAGCCTTCATTGGAGATAAAAGATCCAGCAACCAAACTGAGGTAGAAAGCTCTGACGTCTGAACAACTACCGAGAGTGGAATGACCCAAGGGACATAAGTGACTCACCTCTCTTTGCAGCTCTCACAAGCTGAATGGCAAGAACTACCTCGTATGGTCGCATCCGTGAAGTTAGCAATTGATGGGCAGAGCAAGATGGGCCATATAACTGCAGGAGTCAAGCATCCGTAGGCAAGGAGAAATGGAGGTAATATTTTATTATAATGAGATGATGTCCCATTGGCAAGAACTAGATCAATGTTATAATGTTGAATGAGAGTGTCCTGGAGATAGTGTGAAAGCTATGAGAAAAAAAAGTTTATTTATTTCTGGTTGGTCTTAATGGAGAATTTGATGAAGTGATACCTCGGATCCTATGGGAAAACTGCATCCAACACTTTTTATTCTGAGGTTAGAAGAGAGGAGACTAGAAGAAAAGTAACGTTAAAGCCAGAATTTGAAACTAATGATGATAATTTCGCTCTTGTGACTGTTAAAAATGATGATGACAGTGAAAAAAGAAAGAATCCTAGGTGCAACTACTGCAAAAAAACATTGATACACTCGAGAAACACGTTGGAAGCACCATGGAAAACCGAAAAATGGGAGAAACAAGAGTGGAAATGGTCGTGGTTTACAATCTGGGGATAAAAAAGCTTTCCAAACGACTAATGAAAATCATGAGCAGCAAAATTCTTAGGAAGGGTCTCTGTTCAGTAGGGAACAACTAGAGCATCTACACAAGTTTTTCCGATCACCATAGTTTCGGATGAATTCTTCAATTCCCAACTCTTCTAATAAGCCTTCTTGCTCCTTTGCCCAATCAAGTGTTGATTCTTCAATTTTTTTCAATGTAAGCCTTGTAAAACAAGCCTGTGGATCGTTGATTCTGGACCTAGTGGTCACTGGTCACATGAGCAGTAGTTCTTTCCTTTTCTCAACTAACACACCTTGTGCAGGAAACAAAAAAAAATCAAAGTGGCTGGATTGTTCTTGGCATTAGTCAGGAAAGGAACTATCAAAATTTCACCTTCCTTGATTATACGTGATGTTTTACATGTGTCAAAATCTTTGAACTCCGTTTCTAGTTTTAATAAGGTTATGATTTGGTAATATCGGCTTGGACACCCTAATTTTTAATAATTAAGACATTTGTTACCTGATTTGTTTAAGAATAAAAGTCCTTCATATACACCCAGCTTGAGGAGTGTGGAACTAAATTATATTTCTACTCAACAACTTTGATGGACTCAAGTACAAGTAGGGTTTGTACAACATATACACCCAACTTGAGAGGGAGTGGAAAACTGTCGTGATTAAAAGATACCTAGTTGAACTTTGCATGCTAATTTTTTTTTCTTCTATCAAGCAATTCGAACAGGTGTTAGAAATGATTGTTACCATGGATGTAATTTTGTATCTTCTTATAATATTTACATGATTGTTACCATGGATGTCACTTTTGTTGAAACAACATTGCTTCAATTCTAATATTTGGGGGGGGGATTTATAGTGAGTTCAATTTGCTAAACGAAAAGGTGTTAGAAATGTTGTCAAATATCCCATGTCTAAATCTTTTTTCTACAATGCTTTGCCTTCAACATTCTCAGCCTTTGTGTTATGAACCTAAGGAAATAGAGAAGGTAAGATCGAAGGAACGAAGGATATAGAAGAAGAGAGATTATAGAAAAAGGATTTTCATTCATTCATCAGATAAAATCTTTCTTCTCCAGTACATAGTTTTATTTTCAATACAATGTATTATGACAAATCTAAAATTGACAGCTGGATAACTAACTCTAACAACTTCCTTTGCAGATAAGAGCTAAGGTATTTTCCTCCTATGTGCTGCTAGCTGGATCCATTATTGAACCCATCTCCTCTGCCCCTTTCAGCTTTCGATCCTCCTTACTAGTGTCCAGCTCCAGGTAATTTTCTTCTATCTTAGCTTTAGGAATTGAAATCCCTAATTCCCCGATTCCATTTTTCACAATCCCTAATTCCTCTTTCATTTCCCCCAATTCTCTCACTTCAATTCTAATCTCCCTGTCTTGTTCTTCTCTTTCATTCGTGAAACTTTGTTTCATGTCTTAATATTGTGGAAATGCCCAAAAATGTGAAAGATGCTTCAAAGGTTTTTGAATGGAAGGAGGATGTTCTAGAGATGCATGCTCTTGAAAAACAGGAACATAGATTGGATGAGAAAATTAAAGGTTGAGATTAACAATAGAAAATGAAAAGATATTCACTACAAAAAAAACAAAGAGTTAATCTCAACCTTTGAATTCCAGTAAAAGCACTGGAAGCAAGGCAAACAGGGATGGTTCGCTCCCCACTGGAGCAAACTGGACGTCATTCGTAGATAATTTAAGTAGACGAGTCTCTATAAGAGCTTTATGGGAGCTTTTCAAGCATCAAGGGAAGGTTACCAGGGTCTTCAGTCCTCCTGTTAACAGAAGGCCTAGATATAAAGATGATACATTTGCTTTCGTTCAGTTTCAGAGGAAGGATGATTTGCTTAATGATATCGAGAAGGTTAATAACACTGTGATCGATGGGAGAAGGGTGAAGGTAGGGATGGGTAAATATCAAAAAAGGTTTCAGCAAAACAAAAATGGTGGAGAAGCTGAAAAGTCAATTCGGAGTGCAGGAGAACCATCAAGGAACTTAATGGATAGAAGGGCTTCTTTCAACAATTTTTATGACAGCATGTCATATAAGGATTCCTTGGTAGGGGAGATGGAAAAATCGAATGAACTCCGACGTTTCATCACGAATGCATCAGAGGCTAATAAGAGCCAACTAGATGTTTTCATACCGGCGGAGGAGAGACAGTGGATGAAGCTAGCGTGGGCTGGTATCTTTAAACCTTTCCATGATATGGAATTTATTCAGAAGCCCATTCTTGATAAGGGGTTTAACGCGAAGTTAGCTAATTGGGGTTATGCAAACAACGCTTGTATCATAATTTTCCCGTCGGAAGAAGCTAAAAAATAAGCGATGGAAAACAGAGCTGAGGAGTTTAAGTTTTCTTCTCTAGCCTGGCTTCGAGATGGGGGATTCTAGTGAAAATTCATGAAGATACTCTCAATAAGAATGACCTGAGCAGAGCAAAGATGGTGATTAGAGTTGCGAGCCCCTTTGACGTCCCAGATTTTTTTTATAGAAATGAGAAGCCTTATTAAAAACCCCTTCATAACCATCAAGCTACAAAATAGCTCAACGGACATTAGGAGGAAAACAATGCCTCATAATTTATTGCTAAAAAAGGAATTACACCACATACATCACTAGGAAATTGTAGAAAACAGACTGTAGAAAACATAATAGTCTGTTCTTTTTTCTTATTTGATTCAGTAGAGCATATTACATATTTATATACAAATTATGCCTCTAAACTAGGAAACTCTAACTTAGGAAAGATATAAATCCTAGGAGATGTAATCCCTTGAAACAGTGGATTGAAAAACATAGAATAATTACAGAATCTCTTAATTTAAGGGATTGAACAGCTCATTTCTATACTTCCTAAACCCTTACATAACCTACACTCCCCCTCAAACTGGTGTATATATGTTGTATATACCCAGTTTGAATGACAACTCATCAAAAGTCACTCGTGGAAGGGTTTTGTCGAAGATATCTGCTAGCTGTTTCTTCGTCGGAATGTACTGTAGTTTTGCAACTCCATTATTGACCTTCTCGTAAATAAAATGTCTATCTATCTCAATGTGTTTCGTTCTATCATGCTGCACTGGGTTTTTTGCTATACTCATAACTGATTGACTGTCACTAAAAATCTCAAAATTCTTCTTGTCATCTAAGTCCAGTTTTGTGAGTAGCCTTTTAATCCACATTCCTTCACATATTCCGAGAGTTATTGCTCTAAACTCTAACTCAACACTACTTCGAGAGACAACGGCTTGTTTCTTACTTCTCCAAGTCTCCAAATTACCCCAAACGTAGGTACAGTATCCACTAACCGACTTTCTATCAGTTAATTCACCTCCCCAACTTACATCCGTATAAACCTTCACTGTTCTGTCTTGATTTTTTCTAAATATAAGTCCAGCTCCTGGGGTAAACTTCAAGAACCTTAAGATTCTGTTAACAGCTTCCAAATGTTCTTCTCGATGATCACTCATATGTTAGCTGACAATGCTCACTGAGTATGCAATATCAGGCATGGTCAGTGAAAGGTAGATCAATTTCCCAACTAACCTTTGG